ATACCGAATAGGGTACAATGCTCCAGCGATGAGTCACACTGGACCGCAGCCTTAAATAGTAGTAGAAGCTCTTCAGATGGATGGCTGCCAGCTGATGGCAATCAGCAGCCAATTAGAGGAGGAGCTGCAGGTAGTGGAACTCTCACACAAACTGCTGTGCACACAAAATAAAAATAAAACATGTAGGTCCTTACTGAGCAGTTTGTGTTTTGTCTGTTGGTACGCCTCATGATGTTTACAACTGGTCACACATGACATGAGTTGAACACCGCATTCTTAACAGCATCTGCACAACAGAACATTAAAAAATGGCTAATTTTCTTAAAGCAGGTATATATATATATATATATATATATATATATATATATATATATTTAAATTATCAGTGACATCAGACTAAAAAAATAGATACTCTTAAACAAATAGATATTTGTTGTCTCCCCTGTTATGTTCTATGCAATGACAAGGTCAGAAAAATAAACTGTGTTTTTAAGTGAAAATACAAACTGGAAAAAAAAATCAAGCCCTTTACAATCAAACTCTTTATTTCTTCAGCTGTGGCCCAAGCAACAAACTCTACAAACAGATGTGTGAAGCTTGCATCAACGAGGCGTGACCTGCTATAGCATGCACATGTTGTGCATGTTTTGTGTTTGTGACCATGTTCTCTGGGTCGTCTGGCTGATGGGAGCTTCTTGTTATGCGTCAAATATCACCTGTATAAATGTCAGGAGCTCTGAGACCCCGGAGTGCCCCCTGTGGGCCGCTGCAGGCCTCTGCCAGGACCGGTGCAGTTCTGGCACAGATTGCGCTTCGCTCAGCAAACCGAACCGGAGGAGCTTTCCATCTTTCAGCACATGTCGCCTCACTTGGCGGGAGACCGCTGGCAAACCCTGACATGTTTGCCTGCGAGGCTCAAAGCAAATGGCATGCAGGCACACTTCCACAGTCAGAGGGCTGATTTCCTCCTCTACCAGAGATAATTCCACACCTTTTATTTTCTGTTGGCCTCTCTCTGTGATAGCGCTCCTCACAATGTGCATGGCTGAGAGGGAGAAGAGGAGGAACCCTTCCTCCTGGGGTGACCTGGCAGTTGATGAGAAGGAACGCTGCTGATTTTTTTGTCTAACTGGAAGAAAAGTCCTGGTGATGCAGCTGCTACCGAGACCTTTTCTTTCTCTAGCCTCCACCTCGTTGTCCCTCTACTCATCCACCCTACATAGGAGGTTTTGTTAGTAAATGAACGAGATATAAGGTAAACAGAAAACGTGATTAAATTGAGATCATGTACAAAGGGCGACACAGGGTGAAAGTGGTTGGAGCCGCCGCCTCACAGCGGAAAGGTCGCAGGATCGCCTCCTGGCCTTTCTGTATGGAGCTTACATGTTCTCCTCGGGGCACACCTGAGTTTTATTTGGCTGCTCTGGTTTCCTCCACAGACTGAAAATCTGTGTGTTAGGTTCATAGTAACTCCAAATAGTCTCGGTGTGCGTGAGCATGCTACAGGGTGTACCCTTCCGCTCGCACGGTGACTCCTGGAGGCGCCAGCTCCCACATGACGAAGAAAGGAAAACTGGTTAAAGAAAATGAACTGGACAAACATGTCTGACCAGTCAAAGACAAACTATGTTTACACTTTTGTGGCATTAAAAAAATATAAAGTTTAACGGTAATTTGGAAACCAGACAGTGATGTACAACTTTTTTTTTTTTTCAGCTTATAGTCCTTGAGTTTGCTTCTTCAAAAAGGTTTCCATCTTAGGACAGAAAATTAAGTTTGAAAGGAGAAAAATAACTGCACATCTTGCAGGGTGCAAAACATGAACATGACTGATGAAGTCCTATGGATGAAGGACAAAAAGTCTCAACAAAAAATAAACCGTCCAGATTAACTGACTGAACGATGTTGGATAGTCCCTCAATACTTCACAGACATTCACAGACTTGCTCTTTTCAGGTTTTCAACGTAAAATTGTACACGACACACAATTGTCAACTTTAACACTACTCATGTGATCGGGACGGTATGGGATAAAACGTTGACGGGAGTGGGAACCAACCAATAGGACAAAAAAACAAAAAATATATTTTGGCCAGGCGCCACCATTTTGTAGTTTTCTTTCAATAAGCCTACACTGTAACGCAAGTCAATAGAACTACACAGCCCAGAAGCCAACAGTGCTTCTGGCCGATGCTTTCTGCTGAAATTCAAAGAGCAGCAATGGAGGGAGCAAACACCAGCGGAGAAACTGATGTGGTAAAAATAGTTTTGCAACACAAAGTCAGAAGTAACGATCTGTCTATTAAACTCACAGAACTGGAAGGAAAGTCGCAAATAATCCTGAAGCTGAACTCTTCCTTCAAGTTGTAGTATCTTCATTGGTGAGTACCCATATACAATTTTTCAGTACTGCACAGTACATATACCGTATTTTCTAGCGAATAAGTCGCAGTTTGTAGCATAAATTTCAGTCTTGCAACTTTTACACCGTAGCGACTTATATACTTATTTTTTTTTCCATTCTCATAACAAAATTTTTTAACGACACTTGAAATGTTCATTCATTCTGACATGAACCAGAGTAAATATTACCATTTGTAGCCGCTAGAGGTGCAAGAAGGCTCCACGGAGGTGCACCACCCATCCATCCACCCATCAATCCATCCATCCATTCATTGTGGCTCCGGCTGCGAAAGTTCCTCCGCTTCCGGAAACGGGGAGGAAGGGGGCAGCAAGGTGCATGATCTGCGGCCCCGGGAAGCAGCGAGGTGTGAGCAGAGGGACGCTGTAGAGCCGTGAGCCACCTTCGTCCCCACTCTGGTGGCAGAGTGAGTACACCTGGAGCAAACAAATCTGTTTGCTCAGTGTCAAACAGCTTCATTTCACCGCGCTGCGCAGGCGAAACGAAGCTGTTTTGACCATTAATGTGCATTTATTAAGTAAAAGTTAAACTGAGGGCAGCACGGTGGCGCAACTGGTAGAGCTGCTGCCTCTCAGCGAACAGGTTCCTGGTTCAAATCCCGGTCCAGGGGCCTTCTGGGTGGAGTTTGCATGTTCTCTCCGTGCATGCGTGGGTTTTCTCCGGGTACTCTGGTTTCCTCCCACAGACCAAAAACATGCATGTTAGGCTGATTGGTAACTCTAAATTGTCCCTAGGTGTGAGTGAGAGAGTGAATGGTTGTTTGTCTCGTTTGTCTCTATGTGGCCCTGTGATGGACTTGCGACCTGTCCAGGGTGTACCCCGCCCCTCGCACAGTGATTGCTGGACATGGGCACCAGCGACCCCCGTGACCCAAAATGGAATAAACGGGTAAAGATAATGGATGGATGGATGAAGTTAAACTGAGACACACCTTTGCTATAATCTCAAGCAAAATAATTGTTTTTAAGTGTTAATCTTGCTGAATTTCGAAGAACTGCAACAGCCAGTCCTCCCGTGTGCGCTCGCTTCACTCTGCTGGTGCAGGTGGAGGAACGCTGGAGAGCTAGCTGCTCTGGCCACGATGGATGGATGGCACCACGCAGGTAAAATTAAGCTGTTTTGACTATTAAATAAACACATAATAAATGCGACTTATACGCCAAAGCAACTTTTATATGTTTTTTCCTCTTCATGATGCTTTTTTTGACTGATGTGACTTATACGCCGGAAAATACGGTACGCATGTTGTTAAAATTACATGGGTTTAAGAGTTTTAGAACATTGCTAAGAACATTGCAAAAGTGTGGGAATGGGTTATAAAGCCTATA